GAGAGAGAGAGAGAGTTTTATAAGGAATGTGTAATTTGCATCTTCAGCAGTGTGCTAGGCCAACTGTCTTTAGAACATGTGAGAGAGGGTCAATCATATCTTACGAAGAAATCTTTGTAGTTTGTGAAGGTCTGGAACCAAAGACATGCTGCTTAAGCTTTTCCAATAGGTCATTCTGAATTAGTAAGGTTAATATTACTTGCAGGGCAGGAGGTTATCTTGGAGAGGAGACAGGCAGGAGAAGGTCAAGAGGTCAGTTGAGTCCAGATGTTATCAGAGCAACGGCAGTTGCAGATGGAAGAGATGGAAATCCCACTGAAGAACTGAGGAGGGTACTTTATGCCGAGCACTCTTGAGACAAACATACCTGGGCTGCGTTCATCTGGAGCTGGATCTTGAGAAAAGGAAGAAGCAAAATGAGATGCAAAATCACAATGGTGTCACTGAAATGACTATTGGACAAAGGCAATTCTAAGGAGGATGACAATCTCCTGCCTCTAAATGGCAGGAAGGAAGAGTTTCACTCAGTGCCAATCCTGGGTGGCAGGAGAAGGAAGAGCAGCTGTTGACAAACTGGCAAAGCTGGAAGGGGAGGACAGCTGGGTCATCTTCTTGGCCACCCAGCCAGGTTTCTCTTGTTTTCCTAGAAGAGTGTTTCTCAACCTTGAGAGCTTGAAGAGGTGTAGACTTCAAGTCCAAGAATTCCCCAGCCAGCCCATGCTGACTGGGGAATTCTGGAACTTGAAGTCCACACATCTTCAAGCTCCCATGTTTTAGGAACACTGGCCTACAACGACGTCACCACTAGGATCTGTCCCTGTGGTTGGTAGGGCTTCCCAGGAAGGACCAGCCCAAGACCCTCGGCCACCCCGAAGCAGCCACTGACCTGGGTGGCCAAGGGTCTTGGGCAAGTCCTGGATGGGAAGCCCCACCAACCACGTGGTAGACCCTGGTAGTGATGCCTTCATAGGTCAGTGTTTCTCAAACCAGCCAATGAGACTCCATTGCAGTAATCCTGCCTCACTGCCCAGTTTGCTGTATCTCTTACTGAAAAGGAAACCCACAGCTTCGTCGACTGCGGAGCATAAACCATATTTCCAAATTTCAGCCGCTTATCATTTCCATTTAACCTCTGGGACATAAAACTATTAGATCCGTTTGGAATTTTTCCCCGCATTTCTCCATTTCTTTTAGTCCTGCTGATAGTCGTGATGCCCCTTCTATATGCTCTAGTTCGAAGTGCCACCCTTGGCTGAGCTCACCCCATCTGTTTCCAATCCTTTTTTGTTTCGTTTTTCAAGCTAATTCTTTTAGATTAAATAAATAATGAGGTCTCCACAGTCGCTCGTTAAGTCCTGTCTTACGGCAAAGGCAGGACGGAGAGACACGGGGAAGCTTGTTAATGCCAGCATATTCAGGGTTGCTTCTTGCCTGGTGCTTTTAAAGCAGAGAAGTGACTCGCCAAGGCAAGCAGAAACCAGTTGGAGGCACAAAGAACTGGGCACGCTGTGGGTGTTGTCCTGGCACCCAAAACCTCCCCTGGGTCTCGGAGTTCCGGTGCTGGTTCTCACCTCCTGCCTGTCCTTGGAAAAGGGTGGACCAGAATCCAGAGGGTGCCTGGCGTTCTTGGGGTGAAAACATCACCGCTGAATCATGCTGGACACGGTGCCGGAAAGTCACTCCAAGGCATGTTTAGCAGCATGGGAGGGAGGTGGCTTCAGTTGGATTCCAGTTTGGGGCAAAAAGTCAGCTTATTGGGGACGCACGTGAGCAAATAGACAGAACGGACTGCTCTATGACTCCAGATAAAGCGCAGCTAGGCCTGGCCTACCAGCCTTGAAATCAAAGCTGAGAAGGAGATGCCCTTCCTTAATCCAGGCTCTGGAGTGGCTAGTTGGGGAGGGGATCCCTTCCGGGAACTGCTGAATTGTCTGCCTGCCCTGCTTGGTACTCCCCAACGCTCAACTGCCTGTCCTTTCCCCATGCAAAAATGTTCGGGTCCAGCCCCCCTGGTTTTCCCCAGAGCTCCGTGGTTGATTTGGACATGGATGGGAGCTGCTGCCCTGGGTTCAGGTTTGCCTGCCCGATAAACTGCATAATGTTGGGACTTTAAAACGTGACACACAACAGCTTTTTCTCCTCCCCTCCTTCTCTCTCTCTCTCTCTCTCTGCCTTGCATGTGTGCTGGGTGTGTTTGTGCAGCGTCCTAAGCAGGGCAATCTCAGGAGGAATCAAGAACGTTGCTGATCAAAGCTGCCACCTTGCCTTTTCTCTCCCACACACCCGAGCCCGGCTTTCTCTCACAAGGCCCCCTCGTCTCCTCCTGGGTAAGCCCTGGGCTGCAGAATTGCCTCTGCAACATTTCCTACGGGGCTGTGCAGCAGCTGTCTAATTCCACTTCAAAGTGTGCAAGGAGTGTATAACATAACTAGGACAGCCAACAGTGCTCAGCCCAGGAAGGTTTTCATCACGGCCTCTGATGCTTAAAGGAAATACTCTGTACAAGCTTAGAGCAGAATTTATTGCAATTTGTGAGCATTGCAAACATAGAAAAGAATACAATAATCTCGGAGTCTGCCCCTGGGCTGTTCTTTCCCAAACCAGTCATTGCTTGTATAAACATCACTATATTTCTATATACAGATATATTCAAACTTGTTTCAAGAAAAAATTAGCCATCTTTGTTGCTCTTTTGTTTTGTAAATTACAACTTCTTATGTACAACCCTAAGATTTCCAATCTGTTTTGCCAACAAGCCTCTCTTGGGAGGGACCATAATTCACTTCTGCCCATTGCATGCCTGCGATACACAGGTCGGCTCACTGTATGTTGTAAGTCTAGAAAATCAGTGTTTCTCTACCTTGGTCACTCAAAGATGGGTGGACTTCAACTCCCAGAATTCCCAAGTCCTGTATAGTTCTGGAAGTTGAAGTCCACCCATCTTAATGTGGCCAAGATTGAGAAAAACTGATCCAGGTGTACATTTAAAAAGGAGTAGCTCCATTCCCCCCCAATCCTATTCTGCTCAGCATCACTTGAAGATGACTGAAGTGGGGGCTATTTACATAGTCTCCCTGCCCCCCTCAAAAGAAACTACTCCATCACTGCTTATTCATAACTTTGCACAGGTCTAGCTATCAGAACATTCCTATGTTTTCCTCCTGTTTCTTCACGGCTGGTCTGGTCTGGTGTTGTGTTTTGTTTTTTAACAAAGACCACTGTTGGGTCAGCCCTGCAACACCAACAAAGAGGCTTGAGGCAGTGGCTGGAGCTTCCCATTTGCCCATGAGATGGCTAATTTTTGCACCCATGACGGTGGATTTGGGCAACCCAGCGTGATGAGCCTTTCCTGCTTTTTACGTGTCAAACTCAACCTCTTGCAGAGCTTCGTCTGATCCTTTGAACCTCCCCAGAAAGAGTCTCCCTGCAAGGCAAAGTTGTGATTTCTTTGAGATGCACAAGAGATTGCCCCCGCTGCTGCTGCTGCTACGGACTAAGCACCCTTGGTGATCCCAGGCAGATGGGGCAGTTTACAGGTCTAGGAAGAAATATTGTGCTAGATCCAGCAACTTAGGAGGGAAGACCTATTCCATTGTTTCTCAACCGGGTCAACTTTAAGATATGTGGACTTCAACTCCCAGAATTCCCCAGACGCTACGGGTGGCTGGCTGGGAAATTCTGGGAGTTGGTCCACACATCTTAAAGTTGACATGGTTGAGAAACACTGCTCTGATTGATCCAGAGAGCTGAGATGCATCCCTTGAACTATCCAGATGGGTGTGAATTTTGTTCCTCTGGTAGCTCTTTGCTCTCAAGTGCCCCTCCTGAGTTACAACGAACAAAGACTTCAGTACCCATACTGAATTTTGCTCAGATGCTTAAATCCTCCAGGGCAGGTGTCCATAATTTAGTGCCCTCTGAAATAACATCTTGTTATAAATTTTTTACAGATTTTTCCGCCCCTCTTTCTCACAACTCCTGCATTATAACAGATCAGTGACTGGGACTGTTTTAAAAAGCAGCATTGAGGGGAAACAAATAATTTTTTTCTTATATTTAAATGAAATCTACCCAGTCTATGTGGGACCCACCAGCCCCAGAATTTCATTCCTGGTTTTATCGAATTTGCTAAAGAACCTCTGATGACCAAGGACTGGGGGCTGCCTGGCTGTCAACCTTCTATCTGGATATCTTTAATTCTAAGGTTGCTCTAACCTCTTTGTTCATTTCCAAGTTCATCCAAAAGTACCTTGTGATTCTGTGCCAATGTTATTGTTTTGAAGCCGAAGTTGGAATCCGTATTTTTAGAGTAAGTCTACAGTATAATTAGCAGGCCTTGCAGACATAGCAGGGTGGACTATGCTTCCTAGTCTCCCACTTGGCACCCCCCGGGGTGCCAGGCTTGCCCAGCTGGCCTGTAAACTAAGTCTAACCCAATGTCTCTGGAAATTCTCCATCATCTGGGTCATGGTTGTCCCAAAGGTGCTTTTTCCAAAAAGCAACTGGACTTTCATGTTTTTTTCTTTGAAAACGTTTTACTTCTCATCCAAGGAGCTTCTGCAGTTTTGACTGTAGAACTGTTAGAACTGAAGAAGCTTCTTGGGTCAGAAGCAAAATGTTTTCAAAGAAAAAAACCTAGAAAGTCCAGTTGCCTTTTGGAAAAAGCACCTTGGGGATGAGTCTAACCCAACTTGGTCTCTAGTTCAAGTCAGCCTAAACCGCCATTGTGATAAATCTTCTTGGCAGGGAGGCAGTTCCTGTTGCCTACCTTGTCGGAAGGAGACGGAAACCATCCTCTCAAATTCCTGAACTCTCCGGAAGTTGTCCACCATTTCAAGAGGGGCGGGGTCGTTTGACTCCGTGCAGTAGAGGGTGGTTTCCAGCGCCAGCAGCTGTGAGCAAAGCAGTCCATGGTTGGCTTTGGCATCTGCACACTGAGGGGAGCTACTTTCGGACAAATGAGTTTCCCCCCACCCCCAGTGAATTTTGCCATGCCTTACAGTGGGGGGGGGGCTTGGACCATTGACTGCAGTTGAAACAACTGTATGAAAAGGGTGTTTTTCTTAATTCTGCAAAAAGTATAGAGTTAAGAAGAATCTGAATTGGTCTGCCTCTTATGAAGATAATGGACTATGGTAAAGTATACAAGTGGACGATATATTCATTCATTCATTCATTCATTCATTCATTCTGTGGCTCCTAGTTAAGTTAACTCTGATAGTTTAATTTTTTAGAAATTAAATCCTGAAAGGAAGAAACATCTGTTACAGGATCAACATTTATCAGGGCCCAAGAAAACCTGGAAAGCACTGGAGGGAGTTATACTTTTCTTCGAGTTACCTGTGAAATCACTTCTGTTCCCGGAATGTAATTTGTGTTTTATGGAACTTACCTGTTCTGCTGAAAGTTCTACAGGATTTCGGAAAACTGTCCAGAGGACACTTGGATAGCATGGAGGTGTGGTCAAAGATCCTTCATAGCGGTAGTAGTCATCCAGTCTATCTGGGAGCAAATCTTGGACATTGAAACCTGGAACAACGGCATCCTGATCTGAAAGAAGTCAGCCGCTTCATCAGCTGGACTCCAGCAGTTTGCACCTGTCGGTTTTGATTTTTGATGGAACATTCCCTAAATATTTATCTTGCCCCTTTCTTTAAACATTCAGATAATTCAACTATGTACTCAGCCAACTTATTCAGGACTTTCTGCAGCCGGCCCTGGCAGCAGGGGGTTGCATCCAGCCAAAGAATCCAGATGTTTTGTTGTAAAGACCAAGGTCAGCCCAGCCAGTCCATGTGGCTGCCTGCTGAAAATCCCTATGTGGCTGGACCACATGGCTGATGTGCTGCTGTTGTCATCTGGACAAACACTGGAATTCAGAGTTTGTTTACTGTCATTTAGACAGAGAAAATAGGGATGGTGAGTCAGACAACCAGAAAGAGAGATATCTTAGAGGATGAAACATTGGCAGAAAATATCTACAGCCTTGGCTGCAGCTTGCTTGTAAACAATTTAGTCTGTTCTGCCTCATTCTTGTATTTTGTAAGTCAGATTGGTAAATATGTGTGTGTGTGTGTGTGTGTGTGTGCATACACACATACACATATACTGCAACTGCCTACATTGCAAATTAATCTGACACCAAAAGTAAGGGATTAATCGCCTTTCTAGGCACTGAGTATCTTCTCTTCGCTGTTCAGGGCCCCTTCTCAGTCACAAATCCTTTCCTACCTTTGTACTTCACGTGTTGGAAATGGCTGAAGATCTTTTCAAAGGATGGGTTGAATTCACCCTCCTGTAACGAAATGGACAGGGGTCATTTCCTATCTGAATAATGTTGCAGCTCCTGCCAAGCACACGTGGCTACTACCGGTGGGCCTCAGAGCAGAAAGGGGTTAGGGTTAGCGCTTTGATTGACATCTTCATTTGTTGAGCAAATGAAGGGCTGATCTTGTGGGCAGCAATGATTTAATTGCAGGGCAAATATACCCTCCTGACTTTACATCCACTTTTAGGGAGTCCTCAGCTGCTCTTGCTAGAATAATAATCACATCTTGCGGTGTGTGATTTCTTTGCCTACACTCAAAAATTCTTAAGAGAGGCTCACCAAATCATTTGCAAAATAATCACTCTGGAAAAATAAGCCAAACGTTCTTAGCAACTGAAACTGGCTGCAGGAGAGGTGGGTTTTTAAATGACTGCACCAGAGTAAAATCCTCTTGAAGTTGAACTGGTGGCTTCACGGATGCTTCTATGAAAACAAGTAGAGACAGACAAGGGTCCTTCCACAGGACGGGAAGGATGGGCCAGTTTCACCCATGGAAAGGATGCGCTTTGCACTATCGAGAGGTCCTGGCAGGAAGAGTCATCTAAAACCACCAGGGAAGAAGCAAGCCTTACCTCAATCAGGATTGCCAAGACTGCCAGCCCGCTGGGCTTGTCAACTGCTGATTTCAGATCTGGATATCGGTCAGAGTTGTAATGGACAATATGCAGCTGCAAAGGGAGAATGAAATGGCCACTGGGATTTCTAAGGTTACTTGTTAATAGCCGGGAGAACCAGGCTTTTGTGCCCAGGGCTTCGAATTGCCTTGGCTGAGCCCTGACTTTTGTCTTTGTTGATGACCTGAAATTGTGACTTCAGGGCATCTCAGGCCTTCCCTAGACTTATAATTAGTCCGAGACATGAAACAATGCTGTGGTTTATGAATTGGAGGAATTGAGGATAATGACAATCCGTGGCTGGATCCGCCCACTGTGTCGGGGTCTTATGGAGGCCGTTCTCTGGGACGCCCCTGAAAACTGGGATGATGCAACCAGAGACACAGAACTGATGAGCTGATAAAGACAACTTCTCGGGCTAGAGAACATGAGTCTGCGTCTCCCTGCTGTTCGTCTGGTAATTTTATCCCACGCAGCAATTCGTAAGCAAATGGAGGAGGGAAAAAAGGCTGTTGTTGAATTTGCTTATATGATTATTAGCTGTTTGCAAATGGGAAGTTTGTTGGAGGAAGGAATAAATCAGAAAAAAGACTGAAGATCAATGCAGGTTCTTGAAGGACGAAGGTTGGGGAAAGTCCCCAGAATTTTCTGTTGGTCAAAGGGTGCTCAGGATGGCATGGATAGAAGAAGAGAAAGAAAAGGATAGGGAGCATCTTGGCCCTCTCATGTGAGGAGGGCCGGCATGGAACCATGTGGCAGTCTTTCTCAACCTGGGCAACTTGAAGATGGATGGACTTCAACTCCCAGAATTCCCCAGACAGCAGAGTTCTGAGAGTTGAAGTCCACCATCTTTAAGTCGCCCAGGTTGAGAAACGCTGCTGTGTGGGCTCCCTCTCCTAGTCTCTGTGTCCCTTGACTTTTGACAGGTAAGGAAGGAAGCTGGGGATCATGGCAATCAAACCCCAAGACATCTGGAGGGCGCGAGGATGATGACAGCTGTTGTCTCAACCCAACAAGCCCCAGCACCTGTTCCATTCAAGATGGAAACCATGAAGAGATCTCATGCGATGGCCAACTGGATCCCACAGAAAGGGAAACCGTCTCTAGCTTTTGCAAACAGAGGCCCTGTTGCCTGGCAGGGCCTTCGGTGCAGGGACAGGTGTCGCCCCAAAGGGCAGGATTGTCTTACTTCAGCAGCAAAATGCCTCCCGCTGACCGTGTGCTCGGACCCTTCCTGCTTGTTTCGATTTCCCCAGTGTAAGTGGAGCTGCGCTGCTGAGTACTGGAAGGAGAGACTCCGGATGCGCATGGCCGAAGAGAGGTTCATTCTTACTATGGAAGAAGAGAGGAGGGAGAAGGCGGAGTGTAAGCATTGCGGCATTAGGTGCCCAGGAGATACCCCAACTTTGCAGCATGCCAACGGTGGTCTTTCTTTAAGGCTCTAACTTGTTAAAAACAGGCTACCCCAGCTTTGTGCCTCCAGATGTGTGAACATCGATGCTGTGATCCCTAGCCAGCATGGCCTGTGAAGAACATCTGGAGGCTAAGAATGTGACTTGATTAGTCATGCTCACGGCTGTTCAGGTTCCCTCAGAATGTCCCTCCTCCATCCTTGTTTACTGCTGTTACCTGAGTGCCCATTATTGGTCAAGAAGAACTTGACATCAGAAGAGACATTGTAGCCTTCCAGTTCTATTGGTGAAAGGGTGGAGTCATACTGGAGGATGTCATTGTGGAAGTCAATGGGAGACTGGAAGACTCCCCCACATAAGGGGTACTTCTTTGGCCACACCTTTTCTCCATCGGGACCTAGGACAGCAAGACCTCCAGATGGTCAAGTCAAGATATCATTCCATGTCTGCTCCTTCCTTTAGGGAAGGCAAAGATGGGTCCCTTCCCCCACTCAGCCTCAATCCCTTGCCACAATAGGCCAGCAGGCACCTGGCTTCCAGCAGACAAAGACTCCCTGCACTGACTAACTATCAGGTGCTTGAGAAGAAGTCAGGGGAAAGGAACTTTCAGATTCCTGCTGAGCTAGTGATGCTCTCTCTCAGCCTCACCCACTGCTTAGGGAGATGGTTGTCAGGATGAAACAGAAGGATCAAGAAAAGCTCTGCTTGGTATCTGAGTTCTTTGGGCAAGAAAAAATCTGAGGAACAGTTTGTATCTTGTCTCATCAGCAGAGTTGCATATTCTGCACTTTTGGCTTTGATTCATCCTTGAACTGGGAGATACCTAGTCATGCCATTTCCTTTTTTTTAAAAAAAGGAAACTCCTTCTTTTAAGGTTACACAGTTTCCTATGGGAGAAGCAGAGAAAGATGGACAGGGTTCGGATCTGACTTAGGAGCGATCTTCTTTTAATAGCCAGGAGCCCCTGCTGAACTTCAACTGGGGTCTCCTCAGGACAACCACGGTACCTTCAGCTGCACCTGGGTCATAATGCTGCATTCAGATGAACATGGGATCCAGTGGGAGGAGCAAAGAGCAATTTGTAGCATTGCCTAGACTCGAGGCTTAGACTAGTCATCTGAAAGGGTTTGCTTCATAGGCTTGGTACAGAAGGGGAGAGAGTGAATGCCTGCATGTGAAATCTGGGTTGGATAACGGAAAGCTTCTGGGCTAGGAGGGGAAGCACCTTCTTTCTCAAATGTGGCCTGAAAACTCTGTGCACATCCATGTCCAGGGATGGCTGGGGCATACTCCCTGCTCTGGTGGCCAAGCTAGACCTGGAGGAGGTCTGAGTATCTTCCCTGTGGGGTCCTGAGATGAGATGGGGATTGTGTTAGTTCCTCATATACCTGCACTCGGACTCCAGCGAATGCTATCTGAGGTGGTCTAGAGAAGCTGCAGCCTCCTACATGCTCCACCCAGACCTGTTTTAATTCAAGTCTCACCTGTCATCAGACAGCAGCTCATGTCATTAATCTGATGGATTTTACTGGCTGACTCACTCAACTGCTTCACCTGGTAGTGACCAACTCAGCCCTACGTGGTAGCTTCACATGACACAAAGACTGCCTTCTGTCAGACCTGGTGGTTGGGCTCACCCACCATGCTTAACCATAAAACTGGGGTAAGAAAAGATCTGGTCTCTTAACATGCAAGGTACAAACAGGTAACCCTAGGATGGCTTAGCGGGATATTCTCGTTCACCCAGCGTACTGAAACAACTGCTCGGTTCCCACAACACACTCAATCACAAGCCAGCCTAAAGCATCTTAGTGGGTTTCCTGAAGTAATTACTGTGGGTTAGCTGGGCTCAATTATGAAGTCCTCCCCCCCCCCCCAGCATTTTATCTCATGGTGGCAGGCTTATATAAATGAATGGGAGGTTTGTATAGATTGTGGCACCAAATATATCCAGCTATGAACTAAATTATACCTCCCTGGATCTAATCAGATTTGGAGCCACCAAATATGATTTAATTTAATAAATTAGAGTGGGGACTTACCAATGTAGGACCACTTTGATCCTGGAAGGAAAATAAAAGGGATATGAGTTTTAAGTTAAAGCACCATTAAACCTACCCCATATACAAAACCAGAAGGGTAATAAAAACCATGAGGGAAATATTTGCAGCAGAGGTTTTTTGTTGTTGTTGTTTTTGCTTGAAAACATTGGTTAGTGAATAATCCTGAGTTTGCCAATTAGATGGCCACCATCCTTTCAAAACCTGCCCCCAGGCAGGGAGCAAGATTTGTATGCGCAGATTTCTGGATTTCTGGAAAGCGTCTGCAGCCTCATTTCTGGAAATGTCCCTTTGGAGGAAGAGGTGGTAGGAGAAGTAGCACGTTGCTTGCAGCACAACACAGACCCAAATATAAGCTAAATAAACAGATCAGGTTACTTCCATTCACTGAAATAAACATTTCCTGGAGCACCTTGGAGTCTTGTTCCCCTGCTCTGCCTGCTGAGCCCACCTGCTCTCTTTCTCTCCCCCTCCCTCCCTCCCCCTCCTCCTCGTAACCCTATCCCCCCCACAATTCTTCCCTTCGCAGTCTCTCTCCTTGGAATCGGGACTTCCAATCCGCCTTTAGCCAAGGGCAGAGGAGGGCTCTTTCCACAGACCTCGCTGTTTCTTCCGGCCTCTCCTCGGGGCTCCTGGCCAGGAACCTCTTGGGCGGCCCCCGCCTGCCGCGCGCGGGGAGGGTCAAGGCTTCTCTTCCAGAAGGTCTGGGAGGAGACCCGGCAGGTGGTCTCTCCCCTCCCCCCGGCCTCCCCCCCCCCCGTGTCTTGCCTCAGGACTCTCACCTCTGCTAGAAAACGGGCTGGGGGTGGGGAAGGACCCTGTCCTGAGCCCTTCCTGCCTGGTCAACCTCTACAGGTTAAGACCCTCCGGGGGGCGGGGCCCAGCCCTCCGCCTGAAGGACGCCGTGACGCCCTGGGGGCGCCTGTTGCGCTCTTGACCAAACTCGGCTTGGGGGCTTATTTCCAAACCAGCCCGAGTGCCCGGAGCGAGCCTCTTCCTTTGCAAGCGGATTGGCCGCCTGCCCTGGAGATGGAGGTCCCGACCCACGGGGGGGGGAGTGGGGCGCGCGCGACCCCTGTTTGGCGCTGGTTGCTCCCTGAATGGAGGGCGAGAGGGCCCGGGAGGGGGAGGGTCTCCGCAGAGGAGGGTCTCAACCCTTGCAGGGGGTCTCTCAAGAGCCCCCCCCTCCAGAGGTTTGCCTTGTCTTTCTCCGGCTTCCGTCTGGAAGCCTCGACGTCACCCTCCCCAGCGAGCCCTTAGAAGGTTCCTGAAACCATCATCCGAAGCCAGCGCGACGCAAGGCCGTGCGATGTTCTCAGGACAAGCGGCGGACCGCCTGGAGCGGGGCCAGGGGTGGCTCAGGGCCGAAGCCCCCGCAGCGCCCTTGCCGGGGGGGGGGGAGACAGCATCACCCGCAGATGGGGGCGGGGGGGCTGCACCGGCTGGCGCGAGGAAGAAGCCCGGGCTGGGTTAGGGTCGCCTTCCACCCCCAGGAAGACCCCTCCCCGCCGAGGCCGGCGCTTACCGTTCAGCGGGGCCAGCCCGCCGAGGTGAGCGTGGAGCAGGAGGGCGAGCAGGGCGGCGGGCAGGGCGGCGGGCATCTCGGGCGTCCTGCGGCTCCTGCCTCCTCCTCGGCTGGCACCTGTGCGCTTCCCGAGCGACGAGCCTTGCTCTGCCTGCCCGCCGCCTCCGCCCTCGCCCCCGAGCCGTGATGTCAGCCGACGACCGGGCCCCGGGAGCCGCCCCTCTGCTGCCCTCCCTCCTGCAGGGGCCGGACTCCCGAGCCCATCGCCCCCAGCCTTCGCTTCCTTCTCTTTCGGGGTTTTCCCCGACGGGTGGCTCCGCTCCGCATTCCAAGCGATTGACGGGACTTTTGCGCCTGGCGAAACCCTGGAGCGTCAGGAGGGGAGCCGGAGGGCCCAGCGCCCGGGGGCCTCCTCTCCTCCTCCCCCCACTTTCGTTCCTTTTGCCGTGCCCCCTTTTCCTGGGCAGCTGCGCGGAGAGTTGGTCCCTTGCACCACTTCAGGGCCAGTTGTGTTGTCCCGCATCCAACTCGATCCTGAGAAGATCCAGTCTCTCGGGAAGGCCCAGCGGTGGGGGGGGGGCGCAGCATGGGATACCTGCATACCTGCAAACGGAGAGGGGTAAATTTCCCTGCGCTTTTCTTTCAGCCTCCTGCAGCTCTTTATGCGGCTGCCGGCCTTGACTGCAATTTCAGTGGCTCAGCAAAGGATGGAACATTTTGTATGTGTTTTAGTTTCTGTCCCAGGCTGTGCCTTCGCGCGCCCCCCCCCCCCGATTTCTGCTCTTTTCCCAAGAACTTTTATTTCCCTGTCAGACACCGATTTAGGCATGTTCTTTTTGCTCGGTCCCTGGCTAGTTTTGCAACAACACTCTAGTGTATCCAAACTCAAATTTGGAAAAGCGTCCTGGAAAATAGAAGCAATGTAGTGCAGTTATCCAAACATGCCATTAAAAAAAGAAAACCATCAAATTGCAGCCTTAGATTCCCAGGAATAGGAACCAGGTGAAAACAAAGAGGGTGTGAGCTGCTGTGGCCAAACCCCCTGCTGGACTTGGGAGAATCCTTTTCTCTGCCTCCCCTGGAGGAGAAACGTGTCTCTGGTGGTTTCAGAGGATGCGCTTATCCTGAAAACTTGGGGTGCCCTTCCAGGGGCCTGCTGGAGTCAGATCCTCCAGAGGGCCAAAGGCTTCCGTGAGCAGAAGTGGCTGACCCACTTCAGCTCCGGCTTCCTGGCTGCCCCCTTTCGTGGACTCAGGACAGAGACATTTAAGTCCCTGCAAAAGCTTTGAAAGCCTCTGCAGCTGCCAAGGAGTCTGAGGGGTCCCTCGGCCAGAGGCCTGGGGTACCCCACTGTGTGAGTAACCAGTTAGTTACAAAGCAAGTGCAAAGAGGGCCCTAGAGGAGCCTCACCACTTAGCCTGGAAGCCCTGCTGTGTTGCCAGCCTTGCATGATCCCCCATCTCCAGCGATGCCCCTCTGAGTAGGCCAAGGCTCCCACCCGTGGCCTCTTGCTTGACTGCCCAATTCCCTTGGTTTCACTCAGGCCAGGAGAGCTACTCAGGAAGAGCTTTGAGACATCGAAGCCCACAATGAAAGAGGCTCATCCCCAATTCTGCCCAAACTCCATTTAACCATGTAGGTGGAAACCAGCCAGCTCACTAGTCTCTCCAGCTTGAGAAGGTCCCTCTTCAGAGCCCGATGGAATAATCGATCCTCAGCTTTTTTCCCTGGGAGATTCAATAATCCCCTCCCCACAATTAACCGAACCTGCCCCCCAGGAGACGGCTCAGTGGGATCCAGGTGTGGCTGCATGGCTCCCTCTGCAACACCTCCAAGGAGGCCTCCCCTCCCCCCTCTGGCTACAGGCACCAGAAGACCCCGAGGGAGCTTCTGGTCCATCAGATCAGAAAAGGCCATCGGCCACAACTGTTTTATACATTTTATTCAACAATTTTTTATAGCTCCCCAACTCACACATAGAGTAGGCGACTCCAGGTAGCTTACGACATTTAAAAAAATTCAGCAACAGAAACCAGCCAAGCTGTGTGTATCCCCTGTGAATGTGAAAAAGCTTCGGACTCCCGAACGTGACCAAATCCTCATCCTGCTCTGTGGATATTTGTTTGTCTTTCCCCTCTCTGCTGTAGTTAACTTATATTTGTTCCGTTTTATCTGGTCATTGACCAAAATAAATAGTATCTCTGGGTAGATCACTGCCACAGCATTCTTTTGAAATGCTCTCTTCCCATGTTTGAGAGTCAAGTCTCTCCCATCCATCTCTGTGGCCCTCTGTTCTCCCAGCCTTCCTTGCGAGGTGTTTCTTTCTTCTTTCTTTCACCTCTATTTTATCTGTGTCACGTTCAGTGTTTTAGCTTACAGAGCTCTTCTTCTTCTCAGATCTGATTGTAATTATGTTTGAGATACTTTATAGGAAATGGTATGGAAATGTTTTAATAGGTAATACAAAAAATGCCAAATGCCTCTTTTTGCCAAATGCAATTAATATCCCTGGGGTGTTTTATGGAATCTGTGAAAATCGATCTCTCATGCACACTTGGCACTTGTGTCGCCTATAGTCTTCCCCCGGTCATTTTCCAGAAGAACTGGACTACAACTCCCATCATTCTGATCAGCATGGCCAGAGGACCTGCTAGCTCAGTGGTTCTCAACCTGTGGGTCGGGACCCCATTTGGGGTCGATCGACCATTTCATGGGGGTCGCCAAGCAAGGCTGTCCGCCATTTTTTCCCCTTTTCCGGCGGGTGCCTTACCTCCCTTGGGCTGGGCCAGCTGGTGGTCGGCCTGCTCCGTCTCTGCCGCTTGCCAGCTACGCCTCGGCCGGCGCAGGGGGCGGAACCACGCATGCGCGGCGCTCCCGGGCAGGGAAAGTCCTCGACTTACGACCGGTTGGGTAGTCCTCGACTTACGACCGGTTTAGTCCTCGACTTACGACCGGTTTAGTCCTCGACTTACGACCGGTTGGGGGTCGCGGCATTAAAAAGGTTGAGAACCACTGTGCTAGCTGATGTTATCAGAGTTCACAATTTCCCATTTGGAGTGAGCCAGGAGGGGAAAGAGTGCAGGGAGATAATTCAGGATAATACAGTCACCGATGTCCAGGCTGCATTTTCAGTGTGTAAAGTGTAAGAGTGTTCCTTTATTTCTTTATTGTATTTATACAGCCACAATGTGACTCTAGGTTTATTGTTACCAAGAAACCAAGAAGAACAGAAGAATGAAACAAATGGTACTAGCTGAAACAAGAAACAGCTTCTCCGGACAGGAGTGCCCATCAGGCTGGCCCAACACCCGGTGCCTGAACTGGCTTCCCTCAGGGCAAAGCGTGTTGAGTTTTCCCCTGGCCCTGAGGCTGCAGCGTGATTGCTGGGGAGTGGGGAGTGAACCAGGGTAACACAAAGGTCCCTGCCTCAGCACAGACAGGCACGCACAAGTATCTGCAAGCCTCTGCCACACCTCCATTAATCTCACACATGCACACACTCTTTGTGAAGGTGACTTTGGGAAGAGCTGCTGGGCAGCCAGAAAGAGTTTTGGAAAATTTCTTGCGTTCCCCAAGGCCAGCCTCAGAGGGTCACTTGGACAATGGCCTGACCCGTACATCAACGTGGCAGCAGGCCCAGGCCCCCATTCCTGGCTTCCCACATAAGCCTGATCCAGCAGGATTTACGAGGGCTCAGCGTGAGCCTCCCCAGGCGATGGCATTCACGGGTTGAACCTGGGCAGGTCCCTTGCGAGGGATGAAGGCCACCCTGAGTTCCTTGGGCCAAAACTGAGGGAATATGGCAACAATACAAAAAACTTTCAAATGCAGCAGGTAGTCTTCTGAGAGGAGGGCCTCAGGTGCTTTCACTGGGAAGGTTTTGTGGGCAGACCTGCTTTTGCCCCAAGTGTGCCAACGTTTTCCGTTGTGTTCTATTTTGTGTGGAAAAACCCTGCAGAAATGTTGGACATTGGAAAGCAGACAGGCGGAAGACACGTGAAATTCAGGCTGGAGTCCAGAGCTGGCACACCAGAGATGTCATTCAAATGAGATCACAGCTCCTGGACGTGACTTGGAGGCCTGCCATTAGAGAAAGCCCATGAGCTGAATGAACGGGACAGGCTCCTTCTGCGTGTGCCAGAGAAAGTTGCACAACAGGGCTGCAAACCCACCTGTGAAGGAAGCTCAGCAGGTTAATCATGAGACTGAATCAGTAGATGAGTCAGGTTGCCCATCTCTCATAGCTCTTTCCTCCCAGAAGATGCAGCAAGAAGAGGCATTCCCTCCCAGCGCAGCAGGAACAGCCAGGAGGCCTCTTCTGAGGCTCTGCAAGCATCTAGGGCTTTAGAAGAGGGCTTCTCAACCTCATGATGGCTGGGGAACTCTGGGAGTTGAAGTCCACCTATCTTCAAGTTGCTGAGGTTGAGAAGCGCCGCTTTGGAAGCATTCGCATGAAATATTGATTTTGGTCTTCAGTCTTCTTACTGGAGCACCTGATCAGCAGGGCCCTTGAGCTGCCCCCGAGACAGCAGTGGCGCGTGAGACATGCAAGAACTCTTTCTAAAGTCCAGATGAGTCGGCAATTAAATTCAGCTGCAGCTCTTGACCCTTCTCCTGATTCACTTGTGGCTTTGCTCAAGCTCCATCTGTCCATCTCGATGCCGTGACAGTTTATGAGGAAGCCACGGGGCACCCCCCCGCCTTTGCTGCCCAGGCATTTGCGAGCCCCGTGATCTGGCTGGAGCATTTCAGGCCCCATCAAGTGCAAAAGGGCCAGCTGTGGGAAAGCCCGGCTCCCCCTTAGCTTGATCTGAGGCCAAGCCTGCACGTGACCCCCATCGCCCGATCAGGTTCTCACAGCAATTATCTGCCTCTGGTGTATCTTTCCAGCTTGTTTACGGAGGTCTTTCTGAACAAAGGTCTAGGTGTAGAACTCCTGCATGGAGCCCTGAGGAATCAGGCAGATTGTCAGTTCCCACGTTTCAAGGAACTCCCTTCTCCTCTGTGACCGCAGCCAGTAGCATTTCTCTGCCTCCCCCGGTTTTGCAGCATTCCTTCACAAAATGAAAGGCTCTGGCAGAGACCCAGAATCCTGCAGGGGAAGCCTCTGCAAGTGAACCCCTCAATTTCCGAGGAGTTTCTTCCACTGGCCTTGCTTAGGGGACCTTCCTGGCTGGCTGTGGGCCCCCTTCAGTGACCATCCCCTTTGGAGGGTCAGTTTTACCTCCCCAGTCTTGCTCAGAACCGACAACCGCAATCAATAAACACTGAAGCAGCTCTTGGGGAAATATGGGACAGGAAGGGGAAAGTGGGAACCCTCACTCCACATTCCCCAGCTTTGTTTGATATTTTGCAGGGAGAAAACCAGGTTTCAATCTTAGTCTATTCCTAGGGTCGTCTTAGACATTAGAAGAAATGCCATAAAAAGAGGGCAACATTTTTAGTACTGGAAGCAATACATTATTCTTCAACAATTAAAAGCAGTGTGCGTGTGTGTGTGTTGCACTGGCAGACAGGAGCCCCAGATCTCAACCGTGAAAGGACCAGGAGCTTTTCAGTCGGGTTTTCTTGGATCTGGCTGGAGAACTCTGTCCTGAGCATGGGTAGGGGAGAAATTCTATTTTTCGGTAGTTTCTTCATCTGGGGTGATGGATGGTTTGCCCACTGCACCTAAAATAGAGCCTAACGGAAGGTCTGCGGACTCCACCCAATGCCATTTTATCTCTGGCACCTTCAGTAGGAAGAGAAGGATGCTAACTCAATGGGGACGGCTGAGAGCCGACTACCATCAGGACTTGGCCCAGAGATGGCCAGCCTGATGGTCCCCTGGGCCTCCTCTGCATTATTTGGTTCGGATTGGATGAGACGGAGGTTAGTTAAGACATTTGGTTAATTCTTTTATACCAATGCAGTATTATTTTTTTATTGTGAAGATTCACCTCCCACACTTCCTACCCACTCTGACACAAGCAAGGTGGCTTGGCATCTGTTTGGCCAGCACAGTCTTCCCTTGCCTGACGCCCTCAGGAGACTTGGGGCTGCACATTTTCCAGGTGATGCTGTCTCTGGAAAGCTTTTACAAGGATCCAGGGATTGGATTCCTTGCAAGAATTCCTGGTGTTTGGGGATTGCTGTAAACAACTGAGCACAATCAGGATACTCTGCCGAGCTTTGGGGCTGATCGGGGCCCAGGAAAAGGGTCTCTGAACGGTTAGTGAAGGGCAGCCACGCCAGCCGACCCTCCTGAAGAGGGACCCAGAGCTTTATGGGGTTTTGAGTGGGCATTTTCACAGCTTGAGACCAACTCCAGTGCACCCTTCCAAAATAAACAGGGAAAACTAATTCTGAACTCGAAGCATCTTTTTATAGCCTGAAGCAAAAAATAAGGGAGTATCTGAAAGGTGGACAGAGTTATTCACTTTGAGGTTTGGGTTTTGGCCACTGTCATTAGTGGCCGCTTCTTTGGCCAGATGTGTTTCCACGAGAGGTTGGCCGGGTGGCTCACCCGGAGTGGCGGAGGCGAGATCGGGGCTCTGGCGCTGGACCCGGCCAGGAAAATCCCGGGAACAGCCGCCGGAAAGAGCCGCCGCTTCTCCTCCTCCTCCTCCTCCTCCTCCAAATGAACTGCAGCGGCCGGAGAAGCGGCGCGTGGGGGAGAAGCGGGGGGGGGAGTTGGTTAAACAAAGGACACGCAACCATCATCCCGGCGGGCGGTTTACCCGAAACACGCGGCGGCCGCGGAGGGGGCTGTTTTGGCAACACGGAGCGCCGACCGGCCCCAGGGAAGAAGCGGCGGAGCTCGGCGCGCCCTGAAGCTGAGGACGGGACTGGGGGGGGGGCGCAGGGCGGGCCGGCGGTGCGGAGAGCGACCCCCCCGCCCCACCGAGACTCCCGGCCCAAAGCCGCGCCGGCCTTGGGGCCGCAGCCTCTGCGGGGGCGCCGCCAGCGGGAAGCTGCCGCTCGAGGGTCCCGGGCGCTCAGGTCGGGCGGGGGTGGCTGCCCAAAGCCCTGCCGGGCGAGATCCCGCAGCTCGCCCTCGGGCCTCCGCTGGGCCAGACCCGCAAGTCCCAAAGCAGCGGGAAGACCCCTCCCCTCCCCGCGGGAGCGCCCCCCCTCCGCGGACACCCGGCGCGGGCACGGGGGAAGCGGCCCTCCGGCCAGACGCCCCCTGGCGGCCGCGCGGGAACCGCAGCCGCCGCCGCCTCCGAGGCGCAGCACAAAGGCGGCCGAGGGTCGCGCCCGCAATTCCGGCGCCCGTGCGAAGGCCGGGCGGTGCGGGAGGGAAGGGGCCCGCGGGGGACGCCCCGCAACCAGAAGCAGCCCTGTCCTCCTCTTCGGCCTGGCGCGAGGGGNCGGGTGGGCGTGTCCGCGGGCGGCGCAGGCGCGGTGCGTCGGCGTGCGTGCGTGCGTGCGTGCGTCGGGCGACGCAGGGCGAGGAGCGGAGGCGGCCGGCGGGCATCGGCGGCGCCGCCATGGAGTGCCCCCACCTGGGCGGCAGCGTCTGCCTCGCGCCCGACTCGGCCAAGTTCCCGCAGGGCTCGCCCTCCTCGTGGTGCTGCAGCGGTGAGTGCGACTCCCGCGCCCATCATCCCCGTCCGGGGCCCTCGGCCGGGGCGGCGGGGGAGCGGCGCGCTGTCATAAAGGCCCCTCCGAGCGGGGCTCCGGCCTTGTTCCGGCCCCCCCGGCTCTCCCCGGGAGCGGGCGAGCGAGGCCGGGCGGGGCCTTCTGGGAGTTGAAGTCTGTCCATCCCCCCCCTGCTTGCCCCCCCCAGTCGCCGCGGTGGGGGGGCGTTGCTTCCCTCTTTCCCACCTCCCGCCCCAGAAATACTTTTCAGGGCAACTGAATTCTTTCCTTTCCTGCCTGTTTTTATAAATAGGTCGGGACGGCAAAGACTCCCCCCCTCCCTCCCCCCTCTTTCCCCCCAAACAACAACCCTGTGAGGTGGGCTGGCCAGCCGGTGACTGGCGGGCGACCGCAGTGGGGGCGGGGCGTGGCGGGGCGGGGCGGGGGGATCCGAAGGCGCCTCCCGGCTGGAGCGGCCCGGGGGGGCAACCGGTCATCGGGGGGGGGGGAAGAGGCGGCTCCGTTCCTTCGGCCGGGTTGGTGGCCTCTTGGGCGGACTCCGCTCTTACAGCCGGGCCCGTCCTCGGGGCGCCCCGCCGTTGAATCCCGAGTGCCCTCCCGGCAGGTGCGGCTGCTTCTCCCTCCTTCCTGCCCTGGCTGAGCGCCGCTAATGCCGCTCTTGGGCCGGGGCGCCGCTGCCGCTGCTGCCCTCGCCTGGGTCAGGACCGTCGTCGTGGCTTCCCGCTTGCTGCTTCGGTTTTCTGTTATGCCCCACTTGTATGTTTTGCACTTAATTTGTTCGGTTTTGTTAGCCACGTCGGAAAGTAAAGGGCGTTATGCCCCGTAATTCCTAAATGTGTAGTTTAGAAGTAAAAGACTTAAAAGTATGCAGAGTATGTGAATCGGGTTTTCACTTTTCCCTTGCAAATCATGAAGGGTAACCTTATCTCCAAGAAATGAATTAAAGCAAAGAAATATCTGCTGATAGATTTTATAAGGGAGAACAGCTTGGCCAATTAATAGTTTAATGTTTGTAAACTTTATGTTTTGCATTAAGATAATAGGAAATGTATTGGAACACACATTTGTGCCAAAAATAGTTGTTGTCGGTTGGAAATCAGCCTTAGGGTGAAAATAATCAACCCATTTCAGTTGTGCTGCTATTTACTATTTCTTCTTTATATTGTGATGTATTTTGTTTCTATGTTTTATATCCTGTATACTGCCTAAAATTCTTTGCAATTAAGGAAAGTAACGAATAGGTAATGCAACGTTCTTAATATCTCAACTCCATCAACTTTGAGGATCCTTATTAAGAGCTACATCATAAAAAATTACATGATCAACATTTAAATTTTGTTTTTGGGCTGTCTAAACAATTGTTGAATAATTTATGTACTTTTGGTGGTGCTTTGAGTAGTTTTGTAGCACGAGGCTATGACATTCTGGGCCAGAATGAATAAACTTGCCTTCTGTTTAGGGAGTTTTAAAGAGAAATTTCACAACTTTTCTTTGAAAACCCTCTCATTTGTTCCACAAGGAAGGAATTTAAAGTGTGAAATTCTTGGATGTTTTCCTTGCTCTGATGACAAACAATACAAGGATGTTTTCCTAATTTGGAGAAGCTGAATTGCGTTACAATTTATGGAAATTTTTTAAAAAGCTTGTCTTGCTGCTGTATAAATGTCAAGGCCTTGGAGTGGTTTTGCTGCACTGGGAAAATGTTAACAGATGGATTTAAATGACCCCATTGCTGGCTAGGATGATGTCCATTGAATTAGCTTAAGAATTGTCCATCTTGTAACCTAGTCTGCTATCTTCCGAGTTGATTAACTTTTGCCAAATGAAAACCTGGCCCAGGCGTGGTGAGTGGTCCATTGCAGGATGTTGTAGGAATGAGCTTTTAATGAAGTAAATATTTTTTTAAAAAAGAATAAGCCTCTGTGGGTGACTTTATGGATACATCCATGTGGTTTTCTTGGCCGCAGTACGACCGCTGCCTGCCACTGCAACCTTCTGGGGTTCTTCTGTAATCCGCCCCCCCAGCAGGGTGCTTCCCTCGCGCCTTCCACGCCAGCGCCCACTAGTCAGGCCAGACCTGCAGGGCTTCCCAGCCTGGAAAAGGCCACCCAGGTGTTTCTACCTGCAGAGATGAAACTGTTAGTGAACCATGGACAGCTTAAATCCCTCTTCCATCGTGCTTGCTGAGAGAGATTTCATATTTAGGTCAGAGCTGCAGCCTTCATTTACAAAACTAGAATAGTAGTGATGGAAGGTACTGTACTATCCTAGGGTTTGTATCCATATAGCAAAGAAAATCTACAATTACTGCGTTAGCTGATTGTGGTCTTCAGTTCTGGAGTTTGCTGGTCTTTCTTAAACATCATCTCCTCAATAGCTGCAGATAGTCAGATTTTTTCACTGATGAAAGTAAGAGGACCTAGGCAGCACTGAGAGGGCCCAGTTTCTTCTCTGCCAAAGATTTTGGTAAGCCTGTTTCATATGTAAAGTCTTTTGGCCACAAAGGTTAAATTTTTGCCACACAGATTAAGCTGTTTTCAGGATGACTTCTTAATGCATTCTATTTGGAATAAGAAAGCAACCGCGGCCTTCACCTTTGTCCTGGCTCCTTTACAATGTGGATGAATGCAGCCCTCATTTGGTTACACTTTGACCTTAATTGCTCTCTTGGCAGCTATTAATGTTGCCTAGTTCAGTTTCCACTCAGCAGCATCACAATACTTGCCTTGTGAGACCCCTCCACCCCCACCCCTCAAAACAAAGAACCTGGGGCTTTCTAACCCTGCAGCGTCTCCCTCCTTTCCAGGGCAAAACAGGCAGGTGAGGAACAAGTGAAAGAGAAACTTAGGAGGAGACGAGTGTTTTTCCCAGGCCATGGGTTCGTTTGTAGATGGGGTGGCATCTCTTGACGGTTGAATAAGCCACGCCGTTCTTCTACTGGTGTGCAGCCCTGGTGTGGCCACTGTGTGCCCCCTTCCGAGATGGCGGTGACAAGGCACAAGGCATTGGAACGGTTATATGGGTTCCCTTTTGTGGCTGCCGGGGGCCGGGCTTGTCCCGGTCAGCATTTCATTCTTGGGGAAATACTGGAGAGGCATGCCACAAGGAAGTGGCACATACTTTCCTTCTCAGGATGTGCCAGCAGAACCCAGAGTGAGTGTTATAGTTGCTGCTGCTGCCACCCAGTTCTTGTGCCCTCTTGTTTGCCTGGCACAAAAACCAAACAAAGGTTTGGTGATAGCTAAGGGAACGGCGGGGCTTTTGAGATATCCGGATGAGTCCAAAGGTTGAGCACAATTACTCAGACTCTGAATGGAGAGAATAAGTCACCATCCATGGCATAGCCGGTGGGGATTCTGGATCAGATATTAAGAGTTTGAAGCCAGCAGTTTTGCTCTGGGTTGTTCAGAATTGCCGGCTTCTGCACCCCAGCTGTAGAGTCCTCCCTGGAGTGAGCAGCTCATTATGACAACATATTTTCACCTTTTACGAGGAATGGTTTATTAATTGCAACTACTAGAGACACTTCATGAAGGGCATTTGGGCACTTCAGAGTCTTGTAGGAGCAGTGGCATTGTTTCTTTTCTATTATGCAATAGAAAATATACTTTCTGAATTACTCAGTTAACAGGAAGTTGCTGAAAAGGAGGATGTGACTCCAGGCTTCCTTACACCATCGTGGATTTTAGTTTTTACCACATCCCTCCTAGACACGTATTTGATGCTGTTCTTAGACTTAAAAAGAACTTAGTGCCATAGAATTCATATAGTCTTGGAGAAAATCTGCAATAAGTTCTCTGATAGGGAATCAAATAGTTAAGTCCAGTTAGTCATCTGTGAAAAGTGCTACCTGTCATATCTTTTTACAGTACACCCAGTTAATGGAGCTTAACTATAGTTTGGTGATATATAAGAACCGACAAATTGCCATTAATTGGGGTTGGGGGTGTTTTGTACTTGAGAGACAAATACTCTTAAAAACAAGATGAGTCCACCTGTTCAAAGTCAAGCCTTTTGTTTTAGATTTTAAGCTCCAGTGGCTACAACTCAAGCTATGGCCAGGGTTTTTGTTGGGAGATTTAGTGTGAGTCAGCCAGTGGTTCATGGACTCTTGTCTGCCTTCCCCAGGTGGAAGGTAGCCAAAGGGCCAGGATGTTGTTCGAAAGGCTGTTTTCTCTGTCCTTTCAACATATTGGTTGCCCAATTAGCTGTGCAGTCTTCCTCATGCTGTGCAGTTGTTGATACCCAAACATAATGAGTATACATACGGTCATTCCACTTAATGTTCTGGTTGATCCGTTGTGACTGGGGTTCCACTTTTAAATCTGGTATGGTGTTCACTTTGATTCCTCAGTTTAGCTTCCTCAAATAACTCATAATCCACCTACTATAACTGTATTACAGTGCTAATTATGTAGTTGGTTTTATTTTATTTTGACCATAGTACTGAGCATTAAATACACCAAACTCAAGTGGTTAAAATGTGATGAGGGAGAGGAGTGTGCAAATAAAAATATTTCATATGGAAAAATCTTAAGTTTATATCCCACCTGCCTGCTTATATAATTACTGAATATTTAATTTTAAAGTCCACACAGCGTGATTCTTCTTATAACAGTTTTTTCCTCACTAGTTTTCTGGAGCAGAAATGTCATCTTGTGTAACTGATTTTTGTCTGATTTCTTCTTACCCCAATAGTGTGCCGCTCTAACAAAAGTCCTTGGATCTGCCTGACTTGCTCAAGTGTCCACTGTGGAAGGTGAGTGCAAGACACAAGCTCCCGGAGGTGCTATTTTTATAATCTCCCCACTTCTTTGTGGCCTGGGACAGCAACATCTTGAGAAGGACTTTGGTGTAGACCAGTTGTCCTTATTTTGTTGTTGCCACATCTGTTTGGACTAAACTGCAGTTTGGCCCACGAGCACATCTGGGGAAGGCTGGCCAAGATTCCAACTGTAGTCACATCCCTTGCTTCAGAGTTGTGTGGTATACAAGGATTAGGTGCAGTAATATTTAAGAACATGTTGCTGTCCACATTTGGGAGAACTGCTTGAGGGTTCAGTCAAGGAACAGTCGTCTGACCCCAGTTTCCATGAGACTGCCCTGCTTTGGGGATAGGATGGACCCCTGCACCTGCTTTGTGCGGCTGCTGAAAAACAGCTGTCCATTTGCATGCTCCTGAGGGCATCCCGAGGCAAAAACACTTCACATTGCTATTTAAAATGGGAGAGGTAAAATAATCTTACTGGCTTTTATCAAAATATTTGAAATTCCTTTGTTTGGACCAGCAAGCAGGAATATAAGCCCAACAAAACTGACCAAAGACCCCTTCCAATCTCTGCACCATTTACACACGTCCGGCTGAGCTGTACTGAAAGAAATTGGGCAATAATAAAAGGGAGCTAATGCAATTGCCCTTGAAGCCTGTTTACAAGATAGAAGAAGGCAAGCACTTTTGTGGGGAAGACTTCCAAAATCTCAGTTTTGTTTCTTTTTTGGTCCTTTAAGGTATGTAAATGGCCACGCAAAGAAGCATTATGAAGATGCTCAAGTTTCTTTAATGAACCATAAGAAAGCAGAAAAGCAAGAAAAGATCCAGCACATGGTGTGCATGGATTGTAGTAGTTACAGTACCTACTGGTAAGTCAGCAGCCACCAAACTAAGTGGTGGTGGGGGGGGGGGTAGAAACTGAGAGGGTGCCGTACTGGAGGCGACATAGTGAGAGGTTAAACTGGCTCCCGGCTCCCCCCTCAGCTTGAGGCGTTTCCTTGCTCCTTGTTTGTATGTTTATTTGAACCTCTTGGCACTCGGCAAGTAATTTTAAGTGTCATTTGGATTAAGGAACATTCTGGCCCAATTCACTGAAATTCTGTACTTCTTCAAATGGGACTCTGAGTTTATTTTAAACCTGAGCCCCAAATGCCCATCCAAGCAAGCTTTCTGAAGGTCAGTTTGATAGACAAAGCCTTTGAGGAATGACAACTGATTTGACATCAGTTCAAATCAATGTCTGATCCTGCTTTGCAGAACAAAGTTCATTTATATAGTTGGCTAAAACAGAAAATGGTGGTTTACCACAGGGCTTTTCAACCTTTTCACCCATTGTACCACTTTAGGATATGGTAATATCCAAGTACCACCAGTCGCCTAGCAAGGTGTCAAAAACTTGATGACCCCCCACAAAAAAGGAAAAAAGTGATAAAGTACAGGTAGTTCTCGACTTTCAACAGTTCGCTTAGTGACTGTTTGAAGTTACAATGGCACTGAAAAAAGTGCCCCCAAGGCACAGCCGAGCAAGACACCTGCCTGCCCGCCCAGCGGTGCTCTTCCTCCTGTCCGAGGTTTTCATTGTTGTGAGCATTTCTGTTGAGGATTGGCAGCGGGGGTGGGGTGGGGGGTGTTTGGTTTTTTATTCCCCCCGTCTGCTGGGTGGTTGCAGCAGGTTTTGGTCACTTCACATGACCCTGGGACACTGTGACCGTCATAAATATGAATCAGTTGCCAAGCATCTGAATGTAAATCACAAGACCCTGGAGAGGCTGCAACATTCCAGCTGATCGGCGCTTCTTCTGGGCTCAGCAGAAGCGCCAGGATCAGCACTGAGCTCCAGCTGGAGCCTGGCGCTGATCCTGGGGCTTCCGCTGAGCCCTGACAGCCCCGAAGAAGCACCAATCAGCTGGAAAGCGGCACTGATCCTGGCGCTTCCTCTGAGCCCTGACAGCCCTGCACCTTCAGCCATCTCTCGCTCAGGCTTGTGCGGTGCCACTGGTTCAGCTCATTCCCCTCCCCCACTAGGATGGCCACGTACCACCTGCCAGGTGCCAATGTACCACAGGTGGTACCCGTACCACTGGTTGAAAAGCCGTGGTTTACCAAACAAAAACAATAAAGAGAAGAGGGCAGAAGTTCCACTTTCAGGAAACCAGGTAAAGAGAGGAATTCCCCGTCTGTTGAAGAACTGATGATGATTCTCCCCCCCCCCTTTCTGGGCCTTTGCTTGTTACCTAAATGTTCCAGTCTTCTAAAACGCACAACAGAGCCTTGATTTTTGCAGCTCCTGGTACCTCCGATGCTCCCTTCGTTGCGAAGGCAGCTTCTTTCTCTTGGCACGGATGATGTCTTTCCCAGAATTGCTGAAGTAGAATCTTTATGTGTGAATTAAAGGCTACAAAGGTCAACTGCATTAACAGGGCTCTTGCATACATTTCGTTTTTCTCTACAAAGTATTTAGTCTCCAGCCTGTGACTTAGACTTTATTTTGGACCATAATTAGGAATCAAAAGAGGCAAGTCTGAAAGGCATTGCTAAAAAAAATTGAGAAGGAAAACGCTTGGCAGTAACCAGAAAAAGGGGAACACTTGTTATCTTGGGAGAACATTCTGCCTCTTGTCCACATCGTGCCATCTTTGTTGGCTGCAAATATTTTGTAAGTCCACCACTTGCCTTTCCTTGCTCACCTGGAGCAGCTTCCCCAGTGCCTTGATTGCTGCATCCAGCCAGTCAGCTGATGGCCATAATGTGGTAGTAAAAGCTGAGCCCGGAGGAATCACAGAGCCACTTGCCAATTGGGGCTGTTCACGAGGAAGCAAGGAAGGAGCAATTTGGTTTCTCAAAGTATTAGATTGGCAGAAACACCAAGCAGGATCTTTGAGGACTGAGCTTGCCCAGGAATCAGAGAATTGGTTGGAAAAGAATTTGGGATGGGGGGAAGCTCTGCTCAGTGTCTGGAGGAAGAGGATGGTAGCTACACCCACACTATTGTGTTTTGCTTCTGCGGTTTCAGCATTTTGTGCTTCATCCTTCTTGAAGGAGGCTGTCTTTTGTCCTCTTCACCGCCCCCTCTTCGTTTGCAGTTCCGCAGCCTCATGTTAGCCGGGGAACCAGCGGTGGCCGTTCTTTGATCTGTGTTTTCTCCACAGTTATCGCTGTGATGACTTCGTAGTAAACGATACCAAGCTAGGCCTGGTGCAGAAAGTCCGAGAGCATCTACAGAACTTGGAAAAGTAAGCAGCTTCTCTTTGTCTGAAGATGGACATGGCGGCAGGGTTTCCTTTGAGCAGCCTCTCAGCCTCGTGAATTGCGTGAATGCATTGTCAATGGACATGTGTCCTGGGACGCCATCTGGGAGACGAGTTCTAGGAACCGTCCCTGAAATGAACCGGGGCAGCGATTGCCTTCTGTCAGATGTTCCCGTGTGTGGCCGGGGCCTCTGCCTGGGACATCCCCACAGTGAATGGCGAGCTGAGATGCTCTGGATGGGAATTCCTTGGACTGGAGAACAGAAGACGTTTGTAAGATTCTGGGTGGTTGGCTTGGATGAGACACGTCCTGGTGTTTGGAAAGGCCCTTCTTGGCCCAGAAACGTGGCCCTGTGGGAGAACGGCTAGTCCAGTTTTTTAAAAAGTTATTTTAGATCAAAGGCTTTAGGGCAGTGATGGCAAACCTTTTAGAGACTGAGTGCCCAAAAACTGGCCCCGCCTCTGCTCCACCCCCTGCCCGCAGGGCCACTCACCGCCTCCAGGGCCTGCCGCAGATCGCCCAGGCAGCCCAGCAGCACCATTGCGGCCACGTCCTCTGCCCGCACCCCGCAGCATCAACTGTGCGCGATGGGGTGTGAGGGCAGTCTTGTCTACGCTGCCTGGCTGCCATGTCCTTGACTGCGCTGCTCCGCGTGGGGACTCTCCTCCAGGGAGGCTGCTGGTGAGGAGGGGGTCACAGGAGGAGGCAAGGCTGGGGCAACGGCATGTGTGCCACAGAGAGGGCTCCGAGTGCCGCCTCTGGCACGTGTGCCATAGGTTCGCCACCACTGCTTTAGGGTGTACTCTAGCGTGTTCATCAAATTAAGGATGAATCTCTGTGGAACATTCCAGGTGTAATAGGCCATTTAAAAATACTTCTTTATTATAAAATGCATATAACCCTTCCTGCCTTAAGTGATATGTATTGTAACTAGTTTGCTCTCTTTGTATTGTTAAACATGTCTTAAATTGTCCGTTTATTCTCTTCCACAGCTCAGGTTTTACAGTAGACCGACATAGGAAAAGAAAACAACTTGAAAGTGCCTCCGTAAACAGCAAATTGTTAAAAGTAAACGTAAGTTTGGTTTCCTTGATTTGTCTGCCCTCGACTTTGAAGGAGCAGCTTTGGAGCTAATCGCATTGATCAGAGAAGTCCTTTCCAAAAAACTATCTTGGGCTTTAACATTTAATCGGCCCCCTGAGCAATGCTTTGAGCGTTGGCAGCACTCAGGGTCCAATTTTGAATGCCAAAGGCTCTGAATAATTCACTTTCAGCTGAGAAAAATATGCTTACTTTGTATCAGCCCTTAATCTGGAGCAGGCCAGATAATGAAGTGCCATTTAATTCACCCTTGAAGTTCATGTGTGGCAGATGCTCCCCCAGGCTGGAGCCTGGCAGCCGGCTGGAGCCCATCGCTGGGGGTTCTTCCTCCACCCCCAGGAGAAGGGCTGGGGGTGTGTCTGGGGGGAGTCTAAATGTTCTCATGGCATCAGAGAATTCAACAAAATTAGGAAATGGGAATGTACTGATTGATTTTGTGTGATGTCAGGGGTACTTATTGAACATTCTAAAGTTTGAATTAAATTATCATTTTCTGTGCTCTAAATTCTCTAACTGACTTACAGTAATGAGACACATATGAATATTTTAGAAGTTGGCAAAGGAGTCTCTTTTGTGTCATGATGTAATGTCCCTTTAGAAGGAGGTTGAAGAATATTGGCGGCTTATTGTATGTCAACTCATAGTGATCTTCCTGGTTCGCAGGGGAGCCCCACAAGCTTGTGTGCAACGGGTCTTCGGAACTTGGGGAACACGTGTTTCATGAATGCCATCCTTCAGTCCCTCAGGTATCCCTCATTTGGGAATGGGGCTTTCCCCCTTTGGGACTGGCGGACTCCCCTTTGCGGCACTCGGTGATGTACAGGAAGACCCCCGTGCCCCTGAGGGGGCTGCTTGCTGTGGGTCTGTCCATGCCAGAGTCTTTTCTCCTCCCGCAGAAGCGCTTTTGCCTCTGTGTATCACAGCCGTCCCCGCCCTGCAGCTTTCATGGGCAGGAGCGTCCCCTGCACTTTCGGAGCATGGATGATTAATGAGCTCTTGAGGGCCGAGTGGCCGTTCCGGCACATCTGGCTGATCTGTCCTCTTCCCCACAGTAACATTCCACAGTTCTGCTGCTACTTCAAAGAGCTGCCAGCGGTGGAACTTCGGAACGGAAAGACTGCAGGCCGGCGGACCTACCACACACGGAGCCAAGGCGAGGGCAGCGTGTGAGTGCTTGAGCCTGGAAGCGGAGGGTCCCAGCCGCGTCTGGAGACCGGGGCAGCTGGCGGAGAAAGAGATCTCAGTCATTTGATCGTTGGAATCGGTGGCATCTTAGTTGTATGCTGAGAGATAGGAGACTGAGTTCTAATCCTGCCTTGGGCATGGATCTGTGAGCTTGGGCCGGTCACTGTCTCTCAGCCCTAGGAAGGGGGCAATGGCAAACCCCTTCGAAAAAACCTTGCCCAGAAAAGTGGAGGGATTGACCAAAGCAGTCTCTGAGACTCTGACATGACTGAATGCAAGACAAAATGTAGGGGGGAAAAAACCCTCCGTGGTTAGTTGTCCACAAATGTAGTGAGAGTGTTGTTTTCTTTCTAAGAATAAATATCGCTTTCCTTCTGCAGTTCCTTGGTGGAGGAATTCCGGAAGACCCTGTGTGCTTTGTGGCAGGGCAGTCAAACCGCCTTCAGCCCTGAATCCTTGTTTTATGTTGTTTGGAAAATCATGCCCAACTTCAGGTAAGTCTATTTCTGGAGAATCAGTTGCTGTCTCTGAAAGGAGCAGCTTCGTGTTGGCCTTGTTTGGAGAACGGCTTGGCCTTCCGATGGAGGCCCACCGTGTGCCAGAAGGCTTTGATCTTCCCCCTAAGAGTAGCTTTCCTTGTTCCTGAGGCCGAGTGGTACTGACATGCTCCCAGCCAGTCCCAGAGCTCTGCTTTGGGCGTGCTACGTCCCAGAAGGCTGAAGCAAAACACAGAAGGCAAAACTTCCTTGATTCTCTCCACATTAAACTAGATTCTGTAACGCTGAACGAAGGCAGCAAAAACGCTGATTCTTGGGTGCAGGAAGCATTTTCCACCCAGGCTATCAAAAGAGATGATTAGTTCACAGCAGTAAATCCAAGTGTCATTCCTCTCCAAGGTCTCCCTGTCTTGGCCCCTGAACCTCTTTCAAAGGAACCTTGAACAATATTAGGATTAATTGGGCAGAAAGGTAAGTTACTCCATATTTTCAGCTAGTAAAGATGTTCTGTTGATGCGTTAATGCCTCTGGCAGTGCTGAAAAGTTGCTCTGGATGCCTGCGGTGTGAGAGACGCAAGCAGGGAGACGGTGTCAGCTCTCAGCTTCCTCTCCCACTTGCCCTCTGCACATCCCCCCCCATGAGAATCAAGGAAGTTTAGCATGGGTTGTTTCAGGTGGAGAGCAAAGCTCTGGTCTTGTTTTGCCTTTGGCCAAAATCCCCTCCCTCCCAAACTGACGGAGGGCAAAGCACAAGTCCCACCCTCAAGCTTGCTCCAGCAGATTTTTCATCACTGGGGCTTCCTCTGCGTTTAACAGAAAGCAGCGGAGGGCAGCTCCTGCAGAACTGCAAAATGAGTGAGGGATTTGGAGAGAGTGAAGTGTAGTGTATTTTCGGCCAAGGGTGGGTTGTGAAGGCCAAGGTCACCTTGTCTGTCCCAGGGCAAGAAGAGACAGGAGGGGTGTGGGAGGGAGCTTCTCGGGGGCCTCCTGAGCCCCCCAACCATTTCCAAGCCCATCAACTCAGAACTCAACCCTTCCTTCTCTAACGTTGCCCGACGCCTTGAACTCTGGAAGGGGTCCTGCTGGGGAAAATGGTCCCAGTGGACTGTGTCCCAGGAAGAAGCGGCAGGTTGTTTCTCTGATCGGGTTAGTTTTTAAAAGCCCAATGTATTGCAAAATTGATAATACAAATATTTCAGTACCTCAAGCTTTTTCTGGAGAAGGATGCCTACTAGGTGAAGTGGTTCTTTTTAAAATGCACCTTTCTTTGTCTTGAAAGTAAAATATCTGGATTAAGGGAAACAAGGTGTCTTTAGACTCCTTTGTAGCTGCTAATCCTTTTTCACTCTGCATAGATTAAACATCTCCATCTCCTGGCTGGCCTTCCTTGAAGAGAAACATCTGTTAATCTTTTTGCTTTCTGGTTACTGCTCAACCTTTTCCCTTCCAGCCAGTGTAAGGCTTGAGTGTGGAGAAGCTCTTTTGTTTCTTTGGTTTCCTGAGAGGCTCTGTTCACACACAAACACAGAGTATGTCCCCGTCCTGTACATGTGCATTCAGGCACAACATGTATATCCCATAGTTCCCCTGAAGTTTGAACATCTATGTTTGCACATTAGAAAGATTCTTACCTTGAATAGTGAAGAACTTCCCAAGAAGAGCTTTAGAAGTCCTTCCTGCGGTCTGATGATTTAAGAGACAGTCTCCTTCCATGTGCTCGCCACGGGCCTTCGGGAGCTTGGCCTTGCCACCTTCCCTGTGTGCAGCGGGCGCAGGAGCTGGTGGTCAGTCTGTTGATTCCTGGGTTTGCTTTTGTTAAGGGGCTACCAGCAGCAAGATGCCCACGAGTTCATGCGCTACCTCTTGGACCATCTGCACCTGGAGCTGCAGGAAGGGGTCAACGGTGCTGCCCACCCCGTCTTCGCTCAGGAGGATTCTGGCCTCACTGCCGGCAGCAGGTGCTGCGTGTAAGTGAATCCTTTTGTGGCTTCGCTTGGACTTGGTGGCTGGGGTCATTTTCAGCGTCTGGTTGTCTCCCACAATAGAGGCACATCGGTGATGGAGGGCAACTTGTGTGGGCAGCCTTGCTGAGCAGAAAGAGAAGGTGTCCGTCAGGGAGGAAAGGCAGGGTGGTGACTTAGCACACATCTCCTACCTCTTTCTGCCCGTGGTTGGTTTTGTACAAAGGTGAAATGCCCGAACAACAATAGGATAATTAGACATTCTGGGCACAAGCCATTGTGAGGAACCTGCTGCCCTGACAGTCCTCTCCCCATCTTTTCTTCAGTAACGGCACTTCTACCGTTGTCACAACTATCTTTGGAGGCGTCCTTCAGAATGAAGTCAACTGCTTGATATGTGGAACTGAATCCAGAAAGTTTGATCCATTCCTAGGTAAAGGGTTTAAAAATATGCCAGCTTGAAAGTATTTAAGGAATGTTTCCCTTTGTAACTTTGACCACGAGGCCTTTGCTTTTAGACCTCTCACTAGATATTCCAAGTCAGTTCCGGAATAAACGTAGCAAGAACCAAGAGAACGGACCAATCTGCACGTTACGGGGTACGTTCTCAGGGAGCGGCTTGCCAGTCTCTTGTCGTTAGTCTTTTTTTTATTGAAGAGTGAGTGATACTCACCCTCTTCGTTGAACTCTGCTCCAGATTGTCTCCGTAGCTTCACCGACCTGGAAGAACTTGATGACTCGGAGCTCTACATGTGTCACAAATGTAAGAAGAAACAGAAGTCAACCAAGAAGTTCTGGATGCAGAAGCTACCCAAAGTGAGTGCCACTTTGTAAAAATTGGGGGGGGGGGGGTTGTACACAAAGACAAGTTGCAGGTTCTTGGCAATGTCTTCTAGTGAACATTGTGGAGGGACCCAGGCATGAAAGCCGTTTTTTGAGTTTTCATGTGGTGTCTTATAAAACCTGTGAATGAACATCTTGACATCTAAAAGACATTTACTCCAGTACTTTTGTTGGTGTGTCTGTGAGATTTTGTGTGCTGCTTTGAGATTTCATAGGAAGGGGTATAGAAATATATTAGATAAATAATTGCTGTTATTGTGAAATTCTACTTTCTGACAGAAATAATGTGTTTCTGTGCTCTTGTGCCCAAAGCTGCTGCAAAACTGAGCTTTAATTTTAGGGTTTTGACAAATGCAGCCCTTAAGGGCTTTTTGTGCCGTGTGTCCCTTTAATGCCCAGGTGCTGTGCCTGCACCTGAAACGCTTTCATTGGACGGCCTACCTGAGGAACAAGGTGGACACCTTTGTCGAGTTCCCCCTGCACAGCCTGGACATGAAGTGCTACTTGCTGGAGGTAGAGCACCCGTGGCTGGGAAGAGGAGGGAGCGGACAGGCCCAGGCTTCAGGGCACTCAGTTTCTTTGGCTTCCTCCCCCCCTTTGTGCAGCCTGAAAACAGCGGCCCAGACAGTTGCCTCTATGACCTTGCGGCAGTGGTTGTGCACCATGGGTCAGGGTGAGTACTTGGAAAGATCTGGGTTGGGGCCTAAACTTCTGAAAACCTGGCATGCAGTGACACATGATGGGGAGGTGGGCAAAGAGAAGCACCAGCTCCTCGAGTGGCAGGGAGGGTGGACACCCAAGGCCTTGCAGGGCACCCGAGAACTGGTGTGGCTTCCTTGTGGCCTTCCCTCCCTTCCCAGAGTGGCCACCTCGGTGGGCCTTCTCTGTGAACAGGTGTCAATAAACTGGAAGGGTTCAACCAGTGGGAGCATTGATGACTGGAGTGCGGGAGGAAAGTCTTGGCGCAAGGGGCCACCTTGGATGGCCGGCTTTGTGGAGAGGCCGAAGTGAGTGGCCTTTGTGTGGTCGCTGCCCTCTCGAGCCGCCCGCTTGCTCCAGACACAGCCCAAGGGGCCTCCCTTTCACATTTTGGGTGCTGGCATTTCCAGGGTCGGTTCTGGGCATTACACGGCATACGCGACTCACGAAGGGCGCTGGTTCCATTTCAACGACAGCACGGTGACGCTGACGGACGAGGAGACAGTCTCGAAAGCCAAGGCCTACATCCTCTTCTATGTGGACCGCCAGGCTAAGTCTGGATCCGAGAAACTTTAATGCTTCTCTCTGCCCTGTGCATATCAAGTCCAATGGACAAAACATTTCCAGTTCTCCACAGATACTTGATCCGAGACTCTTGATTTCATTGTGCACTTTTCAAATTTTTTTTGTGGGTTCTAGTTTTATTACATTGTCGGTAGTAGCATTTGACTTATTAAAAAAATGGACACAAGCTAACTTTGTGGTTAGTTACACCAGAAAAAAGGCAAAACCTCAGCAGATACTGATGTGCTGCTTAAACACAAATTTTATACATAGTTTCAAGAGCGACTTTTATGTTTGACTTTCCTGTCTCCATGTTCTGGTTTGCTTTCTAAAGGCACATTTCCACGAGGGAAACTTGAATCCTTTTGATGAGCACGACTCTGCGTGCTCTGTTAGGAAACGCCCAGGATCAGCAACTCGACCCCCCCCTCACCCAAACGGGATGCAGGCACAGACTTTGGAATCTCCTTTCTTTTTTTAAGGGACTAAACGGGGCTGCATTAAACAGGCCATGTAACTGCTGCTATTTTTGTTTCTCCGAAGGCTGTTTTTTAGTCTGTAGATTGTACTTCAGTAGATGGCTGCATTGTTTGTAATAGAAACTTTAAAAAAAAAAATCCTTTATATGAATATTGGAAATTACTATTCTGCAATTAAGGTACCAAAAATCAGAATTCAGGATCGGCTAGTCATTTTGCTAGCACCGTGTCTAGAATCACTCGCGAATGTCGCTCTCTGACTTCCTGCCTTGAGGTTATTTGGAAGAAGACGAGAAGTAGAGCGCTCCATTCTTCTCTCACAGAAACTGAAACTCTGAAGAAGAGGAGGTTTGGAAGAGAAGAGATGGGAGATGACTTTTGAGGCTGCGCTTTTCTAAAGGCTCCTGCATGGAAGAGGCTTTTTAAAAGCTGGTTTGGCCTGGGTGAAAGAAAGGTCCCTGGTTGCATTTGTTCCAATCAGCCAAATGTGTGTAAAATTTTGAATTCTGCAGAATTCTTCAATGCAAGAAGGGAAGTGGGGAGCAGGAGAGGACAGCCCTCAAGGGGCGGGGGGGGGTTGCATGAGGTGGAATATGCCAGTAGCTGAACAGGGACATGCTCCCCCCTGTGGCTGGCCCTGCCTGGAGAAGCATGCCCTCCCCTTCCCTGGCATAAAAAAGAGCCAGAGCTGCAGAATCACAGAAAAGCAGTAGGGACTCCCTGGAAGTCTTGCTGCCCCCTCCCCACACCGGTATAAACAAAATTAAGTGGTCCGTGAGAAAAGGAAGCCCAGATTCCCTTTTCCTGAGTTTTTCTTTTTCTTTGTTTGGCCAAAATGCAGACTTCTTCCCAGCAGGGGGCGCTCTTCTACTGCCAGTTGGGGAAGGAGAAGCTCAGCTTCTCTGCTTGCAGCCTGGAGCCTCCTCTGCACCCATTTGGGTGCCCCCCAGATGCCAGAGAGGACGGGTCGCCCTGCGCCAGGTGGCTACTCAAGGAGACAGCTGTAGAGATGCCGGGGGTCTCAGGTTAGCCCAGCGCTTAAGTCTCACTCGGCTCTCCTGAACCTCCCTGTTACAAGCTGCACCCCTCAGAGGTCCTCAAGGGCAGAAGGTCTTTCAAATGGCAGTGTAGACCCTCCCAAGTGGACATCCCTGTTGCCAGGCCACTCTTCCCCCAGCCAGGACAAGGAGGGAAGCCGTTCTTCCTTTGACCCCTGCCTGGCCTGCAAACTTGCCAATGGACAGATTAACTTGCAAGTTGTGGCAACACAATGGATTTCTCTCCCTGGTGGAGATTTGTTGATCCACTGGATTTTGCTCAGTGAGTTGGGTCAGAGTGAAGCAGCCCAACCAGAAACAGTATTGGATTTTTGCCCCTCTTTGTAGCCCCTCTTCTTGCAGGGTGAGGACTTTTTCTCAGCCACATCAGCTCTGCTGTCCCCACAGGGGGCCTTGGCAGGAATACGCCGATGGCGATGCTGGCCTCACCTCCCTGCCACCATGGCTGTTGTCTCCTGAAGGGCTCCTGCAGCCTGCTTGCTCCCCAGGCCCCTCCTGCCACCTGCTTCTGCTGGACGTTTGCATTGCAAAAGGGCTCCACTCAAGGTTGGTGGCCCCAGAAGGTCCCGTAGAGGAGCCGGACACGGCCAGCTTCGTGCTCAGTCTGTGGAGTGAGCATTCTCTCTGGTTCCAGTGTGTGTTGCGTTCTCGGTCTCATGTGCAGCCCGGGGGCTTCTTTGTTGGCCATTTAACTTTCATGTATACGTTTGGTGAGTGGTTGTCTTCAGCGCATTTGTTGGTGATCTTGACCATGGTTGAAACTCTCCTAAAATATATTCCTCTCCACGTTATCTCTGAAGTCCTGTCTTCTCTGGGCTGGGGAGAATTGAGCCTTGCCTCAACTGGGGCCAGGTGGCTGGCACTGGCTGTCAAGGGCAGCAGCTGAGAAATGGGGGCATCGCCAGCCAAGGGGCACCCGGGCTTTAAAGCAGCAGGCTGCTCCAAGTGGGCGCCAAAGAGGACTTGCCAGGACTTGCCTTTTCTGCAGTCTCAGGGCAGGGCCTGGAGACCAAGGGCCCCACCCAAGGGGTCTGTCCTGCTCTGCCCCACTCCGTGTGCTGCGCCTGCTGGTGACAGCTGCCCAGGGTTGGAGCACTCTTGAAGCCCAGTGTCCTTGAAGTTGGGTTGCAGCGTGAAACTTCTGGTTGACAGCACAAATACGCCAAAGTCGAGTCCTGTTCCTGTCGATGTCCTGTTCTCTGCCCTTGAATTAGATTCTCAGCGAGTCCCATTGACCTGAGCTGAAGCCGCCAAGTTCTCCATAGAAGTGGCCAAGTGGCCCTTTGAAGCCCAGACTGGCTGAAGCAAGGCCATGCTGCTCCCTCCTCAGGGAGACACGAAAGGGAGGCTGGTGCCTTGTCCTTTTTGGAAACGTCTCTCCCAGCTGGCAGCCAAAAATAGCTTCCATTCCAGACCATATTTGTGCAAGGGATCTGGAGCCTTTGGAAGCTGATTAAGCCTCGAGCCCTTCGTGGCGAGCCTGCTGCCTTTGCTGCCCAGGCACAGAGGGCGATGCGTCTGACGGAGCTGAACTGGGAATGCCTCCTGCACCTCTTCTCCTTCCTGGACAAAAACAGCCGGAAGAGTTTGGCCCAGACGTGCCGCAGGCTGCTGCGGGTCTTCCAGGACGCCTCTCTGTGGCCTCTGCTCCACTTCCACTCTCTGGCCGAACTGACCAAGGACAACTTTGTCCTGGGACCGGCTTTGCGGCACCTCTCCATCTGCTGGCATTCCAGCCAAGTCAAGGTGTGCAACGTGGAGGATTGGATGAAGAACCACCTTCAGAGGAACATCTGCAGCCTACACAAACACCTGGTGAATGAGTTTTTACTCCAGGTTTCTAACAGGTAAGAAAAAATATCGCTCGATATGTGGGTCTAGCCTAGGTTATGCCCTGCTTGTGGGAATGGCTTTGGATGCGCCCCCCCCCAAGAAATGAGACAGCAGTTTTGTTTACAGGCACACCTTAACTACCTCTGTGCCCTAGGAAGGTCCCCAAGGTCCCCCCTCCTCAGGGATTGTTAAAAGCGTAAAATCAAGCATTTCAGTTTTCAAACAAGCTTGTTCTGTGTGTCATAATCGCATTGCACTTGTGCCACCAGCTGCTGCTCGGTGCTGAGGCATTCCAAGCGTATTTCAGCAGAGGCTCTTGGCCCCCTGGCTGGAGACACGTGATTTTCAGCCCCTTCTCCTCCTGCTCCCTCCCTCGGTCAATGATGAAGCTCAGTCTTCTTTGTGACACTTGTGTTCATCCTGGGCAGGGACAGGAATGAAAACTATTTTTTGTCAAAAGGAATTTACAAGGATCAAAACAGTTGTAATTTTTCAACGTTTCATTAATTTTATTTTAAAAAGCTGACCACTGCTATTAAACTAAGCACAATACAAGTATTGGGACATCATGAATCAAAAAAATGACATTGTAAACTGTAATCAATTCTGTTCATTGAAAACTTCCTTATGCAGTTGAGTTATCAACACAACCACTTAGCTTGTTTTTATGGTTTAGATGTAACTAAATATGCTTGATCCTCAATAGCCTGGAGGAGAAATTACTCCAGGAGTGAAACAGGAAGATCTGCTAATCTCTCTCTCTGCTTAATTTAAGATTTGCTCAGAAGACGATGCAACTATTACAGTTCTTGCGAAACCTGAAAAGCTTCTGAGATGCTGAACATGGAATAAATTCTCATCCTGTTCAGGCTTTACCATCCCTCTCAAGTCAGGCATGACCTTTTGCTTTGTAGTATTCAAAACAATCCTTACAAGCCATTTTGTGTGTGTGTGTGTGTGTGTGCGCTTGTGAGTTGATCTGAAGTCTGGGAGAAGGAAGAGGCTGCAGGGCTGGCTTCCACTGCAAGAGGCCAATTTACTTCCCCCATCCTCCCCCATGTAACCCTTCATGCTCCCACTTTCAGGTGCCCCAGCCTGCGGTCTCTGAAGCTTTCTGGATGTGGCCACGTCACAGATGATTCCATTGTGCTGCTTCTCAAAAGCTGCCCGGGTCTTCGGACTCTCCAGTTGGAAAACTGCGTCCTGATCACTGACCAGACCCTGGAAGCTGTGGCTTTCCATGCCAATTCCTTACAAACTCTGCACGTGGACTTTTGCAGAAACATAACAGCTGCTGGGGTGCAGCGAGTCCAGAAGATGTGCCCGTCCCTGGTGCTCAGCGCAGAAAGAAGCGCAAACATGATTCCGGACAAAAGGCCAGGGGTCTGGGCCTTGGAAAGAGGCTTCAAAAGAATGCTGTGGCATTAGCCAAGCAAGCGGCCAAGCTGGAGTCTGTTCTTTCTGTTTGCAGATTGAGATTCTGTGCGCGTTGCAAGAGAGATGTAAAACGTGTACTGGAGGTTATCTACTCAAACCTGCCGTGGAAGTGGCAAAGTGGCTGTTTGCTAACAAAAATTTAGGCTGTTCTTTTAGTGGACCACTTGACGAACCTGTGGCCTGTTCCATTTCTCAAACTAGCAGGGATTACTTTGGGACATGGAGTTTCTAAATTAAAAGACAATACTTGTACCCTCCTTCCTTCCTCAGATACTCCTTTAGTTAAACATGCTACATTTTTAACACAACTAAAATCCAACAATCATATATCTCAACTCATACCGACTTAATTTTTCTACATATGTATAGTTCTCTAAATTATTTATTATACATAACATATATATTTCCTTCCTTCCCTCCTTCTTGGGAAGATCAGTTTCATTTTGGCAATTGTGAGCAAAAACAAGAGAGCAAAATCAAAAATGTAAAAATTAAAAGCAAACAAGAAAAATAAAAGCACACAAAAAGGATAATCATCAGAGACCCTTAAAGAAGAGAACTATTTGTTTCTTGAATCTGCTTTATTTGAATAAGGAACCCTGCACAGGCATTTCAAATTAAAACAAAAATAAATATATGAATATTCATGTAAAACTGTCCTTTCTAATGAACAATTATACACAATGTACAGCTCTTCAGATTCACTGGGAAAGGAAAACAAGGCTCCATTCCCAACAAAGTGCACCAGAAAGGCTCCATGCAAACTTATCAAAAGTGAACAAAAAGAGGGGGGGGAAGGGGAAAACTTTACTGATCTCACTTTTTTGCATTTTCTGCTTACAGTCACAAAAAATAAAGACATCTAAATCTTGTTACATTTAGAGTAACTAAAAAGGTGGCCACTGTTTATGTTCCTAAAACATCTATCTTTACTGTAAAACCATGTCAGCACTGAAATCCGGCGTGGGCATTCTGGGAGGGAGGGAGGGAGGGAGAGGGAGGATTTTTGTCCACAGTTAATAGTCCGTGTCGGAGCCCTCGGCATTGTCCACGTTTCGGGACAGCATATAATTGTCCATATCGATCGACCTGCAATTGTTGATTGCATAGCGCAGACGCTCCGCCATGACAAGCTGACTGGAGTAGGGTGGGAGGCGCAGTTGAAAGAAGCAGGTCTGTGAGGTAGGCAAGCTGTCGTAAGGCTGTCCGGAAGAAAGCAGGAGGGGGGCAGGTTAGGCCAGATGGGGTGGGGAACCCCACTCATCAACAGGGGGGCCTCCCCAAACCTCCTGGACCTCACAAAGCGGGTGGGGGAATGTTGGTGGGCCCTTGGCTAAGCTCAGGGTCCCCAGTTTAACAAATTGGCTCAGCCTTTCTCTTTGAGAATCCAGCATTCACTGCCCCCGGTCGTTGCAATTTTGCTATAGCCCCCTGGCTGGGCCCCACCTGCTCCACTTGCAGGGCTCCCTCTCCTCTCCCGCCCAGGTGTGGCCTTGGCTGCAGAGCCAGAGAGTCTCGGGGCCTGCTCAGCTGCCCAGCAAGTGGCCCTTCAGGCTCAGTGGGGGGACTACAGGCCATCCTCCTTTCGGCTGCCGGGGCGGCAATGGACCCCTCGGCGTCTCTCTGATCAGGCAGGGGAGCAACCGGGAGGGGGAGAAGTGCCAACTTACCCTATCGACCTTCATGATTTGGAACCGCTGAGAAATATCCGCCGTGTTCGCAGGCAGGCGAGACCTTCCGGACACAAACCTCATGAAAAGGACACGCTCCTCATTGGAGAACTCTTCCAGCGTGTGCCAGAACCACTGGACCAGCTGGTGCTGCTCGTCCACCTCACGGTAGCGCACCACCTTCCTCAGGACGTCCACAGAGATCTCGGGCATGCCGCAGACCATCTGCTCCAGCTGCTTGGCCGTCAGCAGGGACAGCAGAGGCACCGGCACGATCCAGGACATCCCTTCCCGCACAGCGGCCACCTGCAAGGTGAGCAGAAGCTCAGCGGCGGGGAAGACCCTCTAAAGCCCAAACGGGCAGGAGGAAGGCAGGCAGGGACAAACTGGAAATCAGGATTAATATTTCCATCTTGGGGGTGGAGCCTATAAACCATGTTCTTTCCAGTACGCTGAAATGGAACACGAGGGTAAAACGAACCCTCATTTTCGTTGCTCCAAGTGAGGCCCCCCAAACAAAGCAGAGACACTTCTGAGCTTCACCAGATTAACCGACTATACCGGACCGTTACCTGGCGATCCATTTCATGCAGCCGGTACTCGATGGCTCTTTCCACGTATTCCTTCCGGTTTGAGAAGGTGAGGGGGATGCTGTTCCCACCAGGGATGATGGGCACCATTTTGCCATCGGCACTCTGGCCAATAAAGGAATCTAAAGGAATCATCTAACAGGAAAGAAATCAAGTTGGTTTTTTGGTTGCACTTTGCAAAGTGGCAGTTTTGCTTCTTTGTCCCTGCACTGCTTGGCGCTGCCTTTCCCGTTAACAGGCCCCTTCAGCCCCCAACTCCTAGGAAAAGCCCCTTCTGGTGACCCTCCCCCTTCACACTCTCCCAAAAGGTTCAACTGGGAAGAGCTCCAGACCACCTCTGTCAGGAAACCGATGCTGGGCCTGGCAGCGGCCATCAGCGTGGGGACCTTGGTGCGGCTGCCGGCGGCTCCCTCACCTCGTGGAAGTTCTCCTGGGTGATGCCGCTGTCTTCAATGTGAAGAATGCCGTTCAGGGTTTGCACGCAGAGGAGGTCCACCTCCTCCAAGTCCTCCAACATGAGTGGGATGCAGCAGAGCTGCTTCCAGACCATGGGGGCCAGGTGGAGGTCCAGGGGCTTCTTGGTGCGGATGGCCACACCCACCAGGATGCCCAGGAACTTAAACTGCACCAGGTGCTCATCCAGGCAGGCCGAGGGGTTCAAGAGAAGCCTGGCAAGACACAAGAGACCGCCATTGGCCCACAAGCACCCCCAGAGACAAGATCCCCAACTCCCCAGGGACAGTGGGAGGATCCCCAAGTTCTATGGCCAGGCAGAAGCTTCCGTTGCACGGAGAGCACCGACTGCAAACCCCCCAAGGAAGAGCCAGGAGACAGATGGGCTGCCCGAGTCTGGGCCCAACGGCTGGGCCCCTTTTCCCCCTATGGAGCCAGCAGGCAGGAAGAGAGGGCGAGGGAGGGGATGGGGTCACCAGGGGCTTCTGGCAAATGGCGCTGGACCAACCAGGCCACAGGGGTCTGTCCACTCCTGGCCCACCTTCCAGAGAGACAAACTCCAAAATAGGTTTACAAAATCTCCCTCTTGTCTGGAATTGGTCAGAAGTCCTCATTGGCACAGAAGGGAACCGGTAAACTTACCGATCCCTGTTGTAGCCAACTTCAGCTGTTGCATTTGGGGAAGGAATCAGCAAGTCTACAATTCCAGTTTCAAGTTCCTTATGAATTAAGGGGAAAAAAGGTTTTTTGAATTATTAAATGGCTCTGAAAAGCAAGTCCACTAACAGCAAGAGGGCAGCTGCATCTGTTCCTCTCTGAGAGCAGCACTCTGGAACTCGCGCTCTTTCCCGTCTCCCTAACCATGAATTCCCAACAACCAACCTACATTTAGGAACCTGGCATATGACTGTAAAAGCTACTAAAACATTAGCAAATGTTTTCTTTCTCTAAGCTGGCATTGCTGACTGCAGGCTGCCCAGATGCTGGACTGCTCTGGATGAACAGCCCCGTTAGTGTGGAGGAAGCCCTGGGGAGCAGCTTCAGAAGTACCGGCCGTTGGCATCACTCTGGTCTAGACCCATAATAAAATGCTTATCATGCTATATCTATATCCTACTCCAGAATTTTAATCAGTGAGAGCAAAGGTGTGGCCCGTCACCTCCATTTTGGCCTCCTAGGAGGAGGAGGAGGAGGAGGAGGAGGAGGAGGAGGAAAGTGCCTGCTATCTAGTCTTGTCCTCATTCCCTTTTCAGGGGCCAGGTGTACCCCAGCAATCGGAGGGGCAACTGAAAGGGAAGCGATGCCATCCAGCCTCCTGGAATCCTGCAGTACCTGGCACATCTCCGTGATGGTGTCGTCAAAGACGCCCCCGGCGTCGTCAGCGCCTTCCCCAACCAGCTTCACCTTCCAGGCCCGAGAGGGCAGCCGAAGATCGGAGGCATTCAGCTTCACCACTTGCCGTGCGATCTGCACCAGGATGGGCTTGCACTTCCGACCCCTTGGAGGAGAGGACGGTGAGATCAGCTGCCCAGGCAGTGCACTGCCCCGCTTGCAGCCAGCTGCCTGGGCCCAAAAGGCTGACCTGGTGGATATCCTCTTGACCGTGATCTGGGGGCCGTAGTTCTTCCCCTGAACCATTGTCTTCCCAATGGAGCGGACCATGGGCAGCGTGTAGACTCGGGGCGCTAGCAGCGGCCTCAGCTGCCCTTGGACGATCCCCCACGTGCCGGCATTATAGTGGGATGTGCTGTTCTGTAACAAGAGGGAGGCCGAAAGCTTTACCCAAGGCGGAGTTGCTCGGAGGGCAAAGGGGAGCTCTGGAAAGGGCCACCAGCACAAGACTGGGTTCAAAGGTTAGCCTCACCCCTTGCTGGGGGCAGAAGAGGAGCAGGGCCACTTTCCACTTCTTTGGAAAGCAAAGGGAAGCAACCCTTTTTCTCCCCTCACAGGCCAAGCAGTCCGTGGCCTGGCCAGACTGACCTTCCTCACCCCCCTCACTGGCCCCCCCAAAGCCCCCGTTCCCCATCCGGGTCTGGGCCTGGGCCTTCCAGATGGCTGAGGACCGGTGCCCACCCTCCCTTTCTCAGCCACATCGCTGGGCCAGCACGTCTGCAGGGGCAATGTGCTCCCTGGCAATGCAGACGCTTGAGGCGCCCTTGGCACAGCTCAGAGGGCGACTCCTTGCGCAGGGGAGCCCCCAAAGCTGGCAGCATCGGATGCTGTGCCACCATCTTGCCTCGTGGAAAGGCCAACTGTATCAGTGAGGCTGTCAAAGGTCTGAGCGAGGTTTCCTGGGAGGCATCTGTGCATTGGGACATGTGTGTGTGTGTGTGTGTGTGTGTGTGTGTGTGTGTGTAGGCAGAGATTTAACTTCGCAGCAGAGGCAGCGGCTTCACCTGGTTGTTGGGACTCAGATTCAGCAACCTCCACGAGGAGTACATGAGGTCAGAGAAGTGGTAGAGCAGCCGGAGCCTGGCCCGGACGGTGTGGATGCTCACTTCCTTCAAGGCCCCGTACTGAGGCGGAATGGTGTCCGGCAAGCCCAGCTGCAAAGGCACCGACACCCCTGCAGAGAGACAGGTGGTCAGCCCCCAACCCCACCCACAGGCCACCCCTGCTCTGGTCTCTCAGAACGGCTGTCATAAGGTCCATCGCTGGGGGGAGGCAAGATCCTCCAGTCAGAGCCCCCCTCTCCACCTGAAAAGTCTCTACTCTTGGGGGAGGGGAAGGTGCCCACCTGGGGGCAGGGGAGAGAAGGCTGCTGAAAAGCAAATGTGAACTTATATAGGATCCATTTTGGAGAAGGGGTGGCTGTTATGGACCCCCTAACCACAAGAAAGTCGCAGTCCCTTCCTTCTCAAGGGGCAAGGGTAGTAAAGCTCGCCCAGCGTGTGTCCTGGCAGAGAGAGATGGCTGGGGGCAAAAGAGCACAGCCCCTCCACTGGCCCTTGTACCTGGCGCTCGAGGGGGAACGGGCGGGGCGGTCCATGCAGCGCTGTGACATCGTCCTGCTGAGATCTGTCGGATATTTTTCCCTTGCAGAAACGTGATCAGGGTGGGCTCCCGGATGTGGTTGGTGTGGCCCAAGCCAAGCTAGATTCAGAAAACAAAACACTCAGCCGCCGAATGGCCTCAGCGGGAGGCCGTTCAACCATCCATTTCTGTGTGCCCCTTCG